GGTTCTTGTTATAAACCCTAATATGGAATGTCTAGGGACCCTACAAAAACGTAGGTTTTGGTGGGTTAAGGTATAAGCCACAGAACCCTAAACCGAAGCGCCTAAGCACCCCGAGCCTCGAATCGTACCATCCGGTTTGAAAAGCTGTTTTTCATCTTAAACCAAACAATCCTAAGCATGTTTTAAGTTCATGACACAACAAAGTTGTTTTTCGAGCAGAAAAACCCTGCGAGGGCCTGGCAGAGTCACCATCAGGATCCCCGGCACACCCGGCGAGTTTAGGGTTTAGGGTTTAGAGTTCAGGGCAGCTTCGCCCAGCCTGAGGCGTAACTGAAGCTGGCCACACCCAGACGACATTCGTTGTGTGACCATGAGTTGTCAGTGTTGAGGGTGTGTTTCCAGCTCTTCTCACATGCGTTCTATTCCAGGGTGTACTAAACAGCTCTTGCCAAAGTTAAGGGTGGAGATCAGCTCAGTTTGCACACCCGGAGAAATGTGTAGAAAGTTCGCGCAACAGAAAGAGCCAAGCAAAAAGCTTGTTGCCATAGCCCTGAGCCCCGAAGCCCCTAAGCCCATCAGCCACTGTGTGGATACAAGTCGCAACCAACACCTGGGAGTGCCAAATGCCGCAAATTGCATTACTCATTGGTCCAGGTCCTGACCTCCACACTTTATTATGCAAGTGTTTGGGGGTTCTTTGTGCAGCTTGAAAACTCCAGCTTCGGCTTTGCGTTGGTGCGGGTGAGTGAGTGTGTGTGTGTGTGTGTCAAGAACAGCTGAAGCTTACAAGATTGAGGGCGTAGCTTGCTTTGGTAGACGAGCATTCGTTGTGGATTCGGAGATTGGGATACGCGGGCAGGAAGTGCTTCGGGTGATTGTCCCTGCCAGATATGCTTAGACTCTCGTTTGTGAAAGACGGATCTTCATGTCGCAACAAAAAAGTCAAACAAGCATGTGAATTAGTTCATAGTGCTTTTCGGCTTCGCGAGCAGTCGTTTAGAATAAGTAGAGAGGTGGAATTGAAGCTGTAAGCTTGGAAGCGATGGTAAACACAAATTGGATGCTATTGACCAAACAAACACAAAGTCTAATTAGTGCTGCTAGCAAGCAACTAGGATGTTAAAGACTTCCTTTTTCTGTGCGGAGACGGTGCCTTCCTTATGTCCCGGCAGGTCACCCCGCAACTAGATCTGGAGGCGCCCCGCATGGTTGAACTCTTGACTCTTGATATGACATTTTGACATGGCATGGTGTGGTTAGTACAGCAAGTCGCGTTTATATATATTATTAAGTTCCATGGATACAAATGATGCTGCATGACCTCATATGCAATATCATTCTGCTTGGCGTTGTCGCGCCCTGTTCGTTCTTGACGGACGGCGGCATCGCAAGGTATCTGCCCTCGAATGCCTGTTTTACTCTTCATGATGCAACTAGTCGCATGAGTTCTTGTCAAGCTGTACACTGGAACCGAGGGTGAGGTTGGCTTCTTCAGTGGGAGATCAATAGAAGAGCCACGATATCTTTGCCTCATTACTTCTTCCTCACCCCCATTCCCAGACTCTGGATCCATAGTCACTTGCGTTTCAGAATCTTTGCAAGGGCTCACCATCTGCAGTTGCGGCTTTGGTGTCGGCTGGCTTTTGCAATGACCTTTTGGTTGTTGTGTTGGCATATGGTGTTTAACGGCTGTTCGGGTTGTTCGGACAGGCATGCTAGGAGGAGTTGATGTCAGCTACCATGCGGAACTCTTCGGAGCATCCGCAGCAAATGGTGTTTTCAACCATTTTACGACCCGAGCCACGAAGGGTCAAAGTCACTGTGGGAAGCCTTAAGAATTACCTATACTATTTTGAGGGTTCCTAATTATAACTACAGTATAATATACCCCAAATCCCTATTCTAATTACTAAATGCCCTACATTAGTTTTCGGTCGGGGGTGTTTGGGGCAGCTTATGCACGGCCGTTCTATCGATTCTCAAGTAGCAACCTGAACCCTACCCGGGGCTTTGTTAGAGGTGCCGGGTGGCGGATCAGGCCATTTCTTACCGTGCAATTAGGTGTCTAAGTAATCAGTCGGAATAGTCCGAAGCCCTATAGGCCTTTAGTACCTTCGTAGATCCCTTCAAGAACCTACTCTATTCATTGAGGTTCCTCTGTGAGGCAGTACTTAACCACCAAGCCATGGACCGATTGTAACATGGGGGCCTTACGACTTGTAGGGGTTAGTACAGGGGTCTGAAGATTTGTTGGTCAAACCCATTCTTCTTGTAAGGCCTTCACCATAAGAACCGTCGAAGGGTAGCCGAATTGTTCAACAAGCAGGGCTCATTGCCCCGGTGCTGCAGGCTGGTTCACCAACTACCCCGGAGCGATCCTGGTGACAGGCTCAACCGAAGCAGTTCTGTCCTTGTACAGCCTTGGACTTCAGCAAACTCGGACCATCTGCTTAAAACCCTACGCCCGAAAGCCTAAGCCCAAAAAAGGCTTGCAGTAAACTCCCCCAAAGGCCTCCTGGAGGCTTGGAGCCTCGGGGTTGAGACAGTCCAATGTTAATAGTAATAATAATAGTAGTAATAATAATAATAGTAATAGTAGTAATAGTAGTAATAATAATAAGGGATGTATGTTGAGTCAACGCGCCGCTGATGTGCGACCATGTCGATTTCCCACGGTATGGGCTTGTTTGTGGTAGAGTCGCTGGAGCTTCGGGTGGGGATGCGCTCTGTTACCTTCGTGCCCACCACAAACCACCATTGAAACTCTTTCCTGACCCGCAAACAGTGGCTCTCGAGCGAGTTACACGTGAGTCCAGCAATATCGCCTGTCCAAGACAGCCGCTCCGATGGCTTGCAAGGCCGCATGCAGTGCGGATGAAGTTACGTGGCTGGTTTGGTGTTTCGAGCATTGCTCGAAGCCCGAGCAGGCTGCAGTACGCACAGAGCTTGCAGGCCTTGCGACCGAATTCGGATGCAAGTTCGTTTACCACAAGAAATCCATGGGCTTTCTCAGCTGGCTGAAGGGCCGGAAGGGGAGCGTATTACTCGTCGCAGATTGGCGAGAAGCAAAGCCCATCATGGAGGAGATCACCAAGCAAAAACAGCGTCATGACTTGCGCATGTGTGTCGTCGCGCAAACAGCAACGATCCTTCGCCGTGCATCTCTTTGGGCAGGCACTCAAAGGGGATGCGCAGAGATCATGGTGACGTCGGGCTTCTTGCGACACAAGGTGGAGGAGATGATCGCAAGCCATGTGCAGGCCTTGCGCACGACCGGGCTGGCTGTGGGGTTTCGCGGATGGTTGTCTCTGCCCACTCTTCTCGAAGCGGTACATGACCCCAAACAGGCTCATCGACTTGAGAAGCTCATCAAGCAAACAATGTGGCAAGTCTACGAGGACTGAGTGAAGGGTGATCGAACGCATGAGTGCTATTTTCCTGTTTAGGCTCTGTTGATCGGAGTGGGGCCAAGGCGAACATCGCTGGAGCTCGAATCGTCTCCGAGTCCCGCAGAAGTAAGTAGAAGGGACGTTTTGCTTAGTACATCAAGGCCGCAAGGTCGTTTTTGAGGCCAAGGCTTCGCAAAGGGCTTTTCAGCCATGCCTCGTACCAGTGACTTTTTTGGGCTCCGACGTCCGACCAAAATCGATCGCGGCAGGATTCTCCCTTTCCGAAAGCCGAGGCAGTTCTCTTTGTGACGATGCCCTTGGTCAATCTGACTGAACCCTAGCCCGCTGCACCGTTGATGTGTGACCATGTCGATCTCTCATCCGGAAGGGATGTGGGATTTCCTGTGGTGAGAGTCTTTGGAGGGGTTGCGCTCTGTTACCTTCGTGCCCACCATAGACGCCGCCATGGAAACTCTTTTGCTGGTCGGTGAACTCTCCTAACAGTGTATGTTTCTAGAATGTCAGCTATCCACGGGTCTTTGTCGCTTCCGAATGTGGGCTTCAGACTTCATTTTTCTTGTGTTTCGAGCAGAGGTCTAAAATTCGAAATTCATAATGTAGGGTACTGAGGTCAGTTTAGGATTCTACAAGGTAGGAGGAGCCTACTCGTGCAGCAACGTGAAGCTTTCTTCATCTGAGACGCAACATCAGGAAAAGATTTTGATGTTGGGACTTTTAGGGTTTAGGGTTTAGGGAGGATAGATCGCACAATGGAGTATCTAACCTTTCACCCTGCACGTCTTTCAAGCCTGCACACTTACGTCAACCCGTCGCGCCCCCAGGACCAAGAGCCCCTAAATACCTGCAGGCTCCGATTTGAAACCCTGAACCGCTAAACAAACCCAGCAAACTCGCCCATTAGGTGTCGCGCCTGGAATACTGTTGATAGTCTTAGGGTGTTTCGGGTATTAAGCTTTAGGCTTTGCGGGGTAATCAGCGGTTTAGGTGCACACTGAAGCAGCAGGGGAGCAAGTAAACCTGACCCGTATGTGGCATAATAATGAACCAGTTCAGGCACCCTCGCAAACTTGGCAAGTAGGCTGAGTGTGCATCGTGCTGTTGCCCAGGCTCGGTTTGATCTGAGCCCTACACGCCCTCAACACTGAACCGGTATGCTGTTGCCCATTTCTGGTACAGGTCCTGGCGACGAGCCAATGATAATGAGCTAGCTGGCTGTAGCCTCGAGCTACTGGCAAGCGCAGGCACTACGTCGGACTTTGGGTAGGAACGCTCGGTCTTATTCATCCATCTGTATTTAAGTATGTATGAGAACCGTGTATGCCTTTCATTTTTTTGCCAGGTTTTGCCATTGTGAGAATCATTCATAATGTTGCTGGCACTGCGGTGTCAGCCTGTCTCAATTTAAAGCGTGCCCCCCGGACTACTCAGTTGAATCGAAGCAGTACCTGTGCTGACTGTTGGACCAACGGCTACGGATTGCTCAAATTGTGAAGCGCAAAGCCGAGATCTGCAGAAGAGTCCCGGGATGAGCCTGTGTTACAGCCGTTTGAGCCCAAGTGCAGAACTGTTCGAATGAGCCGCAATCCTGGAGCCGTTGTCTGCTGTGCTCGACAAGAGCTCGCAGACCCTGTTAATGATTTAATGCCCCATCCCCAAGCCGCAGAAATTACCCAGCAGGGCCCCGCTACGCACAGGGGCCCCGCTGGGCACTTCTGGGACTGGGCTTGCCTTATCAAGAGAGATGTGTGCTCTTACGTCTGGAGCATTGCCTGTGCCCAATACTGCACAGTCACGAGAAAGGCACGTTATTCCCACAGCCCGGGGATGGCCAAGCTATCCTTGGCTGTTGTTAATCTCTTTAGGAGATGAGTTGTGGGGATTGTTTTTCAAGTAGGTTCCTTCAACCCTACTGTGTTCGTTCTGAGTCAGTTTAGCCCGAAACTCTTCAAAGCCCTGCCCGCGATCTGGACACACACACACACACAGAGACCCTAAACCCTAAACCCTAAACCAAACAAAGGAAAACACCCTAAAGGGACCATGAGATGGATCAACCCCCACTTGCGATCTGCGGCTTGTCCCAAGGTTTTTCCTTCTCCTTCAGGGACGCCTTGGGGCCTCCAGATCCCGAAAAAGACTGTGCAAGGACATGGGAGTTTCCGAAAATAGGGGGTACCTTATTTTGGGGTTCTTATAATAAGGATCCTACTGTTTGGGGCACTATATTATGGTCCCCTATTTTCGGAAACCCCCACATCTGCATGCCGGATCCTTCACACTCAGAGCGGCTGTCATATTTTGTATGCTAGTGAGAAAGCTCTATGTTATATAACTATGTAACAATCACATGCGTGTGTACGTGTATGTATGTGTGCATGTATGTGTATGTGTATGTATATATATATATACATGTATATGATATAATATACATATACATAATATAGGTCTAGATCTAGACTTAGATCTATATCTGTATTATATACCTGTGCATTTGTGTGCATGCCGTTGTGAATATACACCCGGTACATCTGTGTCCGTGTATGTATGTGTATATATATATATATGCATGCATATGTATGGAGGTATGTACAGATATAGCTGTATCAGGATATGCTAGAACCTTTGCGTTATTCCCCAGTAGGACTCCTGCTGTATGCCTGCAGCACCAACATTAGGATTTCAAAACCTGTGCTGATATCACAAATCACTCCGCTTCCGTGTCAAGCCATCATACTCCCGGTGCGCAGACTCACCTGTGAGGTACACCTGGTGATGCTGGCTTCGGAGCACGGAATTGGTGGCTGATGTTGAGGATGATTCCTTCGCCAGAATTGAGGTGGTTGATCGATTTTGTGGTCCCCATCTGCAGGTACTTCTGAAGTTCTTGCTCTAGGAGTCTAGGAGTTTGTGCAGTCGTGAAGACCTCGGCGCAAAAACAGCACTCAAAAGCCGCATGACGCTTCTGACGCTCATGGACGTAATCCTGCTACCAGTACTACTAAGTTACTACTACTTTACCTGTGCGACCGTAGAGCTACAGCTACAGTTCTACGACTACCACCACGACGACCTTCTGCTGTGCGTCTGTTCGCGCGTTAAGCGCATGTCTGGATGAGGGATGTGTAGACAGCAAGACTCTCGGGTGGGCCACGAAGATCCACAGCACAGGGGGTTGAGGGTATCAGGGTTTAGGGAGTAACGGTCTCGGTCGACTGGCAGCTTCCAGGCGACATGTTCTGAAGCGACGAAGTTTGAGATCAGCTTCTGACAGATGCGTTACGGGCCACTTATGGGGTTTAGAGTTCTACAGCCAGCGACGACACACATAGTACACTCCGAGTTCAGCACGTTGCTTGTAGTGCGCGCAAAGTTCATGGACGTGTTTCAGCAAATGGGGCAGCTGGGAATTAGACCTTCAAGGACAGGAACCTTGTTATGAATATCCGAATATCCCTGACTGTTGGAACCCCCAGCGGCACAGGCGAACGCAGAGGAGCAAGAAGCTTCTGGTTGCTTTCTCTTCGAGCTCGGACATGCTCAAAGGTCATCAGATTAGGGGACCTCCTAACTTCATTAAATAAGGAAGGTCACCGTAGCCGTGCCTACTCACAGACCAAAGAAGCCACGGGTAACTCCATGTATAGCTGCCGATTAACTGCTTCTCTGGTCGCCATTTCCAATCAAGCTGGGCACTGCGGGAGTTCTACGTCCTTGTCCGGTCTCACTATCCCAAGGGCCGGAAATCTTCAGCAGGTATTCCTCAGGTTCATTCGCGTGGACCCAAGCCCACATCCTCCAGAGCTCTACGACCGTAAGAACAGGACGGGTTTAGGGTTTATAGGCCTTAGGGCTGCTTTGTGAAACTAGTAGCAAACTGCAGTATCGCATGAGACTATACTCATGTAGTCTCGCTGACCCGTAGCTCAGGACACGCAATGGGATATCTCTCTGGGAGATGTTGCCGTACAGTTAGTAAGTACAACGAGGATACTATATTAGTTACTATATGATTACTATGGTAGGCTTATCACAATACCTTACTATATGATTACTATACCAGGCTTACAACATTATATGTTTGAATGGTACTCTTAGAGTACTGTCGGGTTCGATGGTTATGGATCTCCCAGCTTCCGCGGCCTAGACGAGCCAGACATGTTCGGAGCTCAGCTTCCATGTGCATGGCCGCAGAGTTTAGGGATAGGCCCTAAAGTAGTTCGTTTTTGGGGTTACCTTATAGGATTCTATATTTGAACCCCCAAAAGGAACTACTTTGGGGCCTATGGGTAGGGATGCAGTTATTGAGAGTTTAGGGTTTAGGGTTCTGGGGATGCAGTTTCTCGAGGGTTTAGGGCCTGGGGGGACTATTATCAAGCATTTCTGTCTCCGGAGTCGAGTTCAGGGTTTGGGGATGAACAGGGGCAGAGTCTTGGATTCAGCGCACAGTTTGGAGCTGGAGATTTTGGGGTGTACGAATTTGGGCACTTTGGGGGAGTGGCAAACCCAGACTCTGCAAAGCTTCCATGGCCCACGCCTTGCCTCGAGTTCTGGAGCATTAACTGTGAGGTGATGTAGGTCATTACGCAGTTACTTAATGCTGACCCGACTGAGACACTCCGGTTCTTGAAGGGCATTGATTAAGTAATGTTAGGAAACAGAGTATCGTCCTTCTCAAGCCAGGAGGACGTAATAATAAGGGGTCTACACAGCTGGTGATCGACATCGACAGCCTGGAGAACGAGCAGCTGCAGCAGGTGTACCAGCAGAAGGTCTTCGGGAGGAGTCCAAGCGGAAGACCCCCGCCGCGAAGGCCTTGTCGCTTTGGTGGCAAGTGTACGGCTGCCCACCCAACGCCCTCTGCCTTGATGCCGAAGCAGAGACGCGGCGCATCCTTTACGTGACACGTCTTTCCGAGGGATCGACGCAGCAGGCGAGCCCTGCAATGTGTGCTGTGCTATGTAGAAGGATGGGAGGTGGCGTCACTGGCGAGGCAA